GAAAATGTTAATTTAGATTTTTAGTCCGTAGTTATAAGTTATATTTTAATTTATTTATTATCCATTTAATTAGTTTTAGATTAGTTGCAAGTAACTCTTGTTGTTGAAAAATTACATCAGTAAATACTTAAAAATGTGAATAAAATAATAAGAGGAAATAAAGTATCGTTTTTCTTTCGTTACATATATGTATGTATATTCCCTGAACATACCATATGCATTCACTGAACATACAAATGTACATTCACTGAACATACCATGTACATTCCCAGAACATACCATGAACATACAGTGTATTAACTCTGACAGGTTCCTGGGACATGCATGGAATGTTCATAATGAAACTCATGTATGTCCCAGGAATATGCATGTACATCACATGAATGTTCCAGGTATATTCTGGGAATATCATTTTGCGATGTGGGTTGAACGCAAGTACCTTAAGGGTGGCGGATCCAGCCAAAGCTCCAATGCACTGCACTATAACATACAGTATCGCTTTCACTACTTTGATGTTTCCTACAGACAACATTCCCGCTGTTACGGCTGGATTGAGGTGAGCGCCGCTCACATGACCAAGAGCCTAAAAGTGAGGAAAAAATTAGTTGCGTCTCGATTTTTTAAACAGTTTTAAACCTGTTAAAATCAAAGCCTTTCACTTCGTCGTTTCTGCATCGTCATTAGATTGGTTTGACGATGATGGGGCTTTTTTCGAGCTCAATTTTGGAAGTTGAAAGTAACCGCAGCAAATAGAAAAACCTGCCCAATTCTTAACAGTGAAAGCTGGTTCGAGTCCACTTTGAAATCGATAAAAAAGTGGCAATTTTACCTGAACACAGACGAAAACAACCAGTCCGAATGTGAGCGACACCAACACGAAGTTGGGCTTGTGTTCCGCACTGAAAGCCATCACAATCACCGATCCGCATCCGAAGAAATTCAGCAGGAAGTTGCCGAGGAATTCGGCCAAAAGAGCCTTCCATACGGCGTTGATCACTTTGGATGAAGACACCTCATTGATGCCTAAAACTTCTCGGAAATTGCCCATTTTGCAACCTTCTATCACCTGCAAACAGAGTGGACATTAATCGGCCATACTTTGATCAGGAAAATACGCGGAATATCGGTTTTTTGTCAAGCAATTACTGTGTTTAGGTGCATTTAATTGGTACCTCAAGGGGCAATTAGCCACACCTGACTGGTTCGTCATGCAATTTCCTACAGAGTATCTGGACAAATAGTTTATATTTATTGATGAAGAAAGAGACAATAATAACGACGCAATAATCACTTTTTTAAATGTACGATGCGTAAAGTTCCTAATCTATTTTTTAATACGGCCGGATGTTCACGGTACTGCCCATAGGCATAGTAAAATGCGATTATTTCAATTTTAAACCACAATCTATTGTGCTTTATGTTGCACCAAATCATAACGGTTCTCTGGTTGGTTTCCTCCAATATTTTACATAAAAAACAGCTTTTCCGACATCAGCAGCATGAGGTTCATTCAGATTGACAATGCGGCCGCTTTTAAAAACAATTCTTTGAATTTTTTAAGTTTTTTAAAACTAAACGTTTTTAATTGTAATCGGAATCAGTTCCAAACCGAAGAAATGTTCAATCAGGATTCGACTCGACCTACTTTGGAAGTTATGAATTTTTCGATATGAGCGGGTCAAAATTTTGAAGATTTTACTTGCAGTCTCAATATAATCGAGTGCCAAAAATCAGCCCGTACATAGATTTCAATGAAATTTGGTATGTAGGATCGCAAAACGTTTGTCTTTGCTGCGTGTAAATTTTAACATCTGATTCGCACTGATTTGGAACGTATGAATATTTATTTATGAGCGGGTAAAAGTTTTGAGGACTTTATTTGCAGCCTGACATATCATCGATCGCCAAAAATCAACCCGCCCTTCGATTTCAATTAAATTCGATCTCTAGGTTACTGAATTATTTGTGCTGACTTCAGATAAATTTCAACTTCCGTCTTCCATTAGTTTGAAAGTTACGAATTTTTATTCATAAGCGGGTAACAATTTTGAAGTTTTTGCTTGCAGTCTCAAGTATAATCGATTGGCAAAAATCAGCCCGACCTTCGATTTAAATGAGATTTGGTCTGTGGATTCCTGTATCATTTGTGCTCACTCCAGAGAAATTTCAAGTCCCAAGTTGCACAAGTTTGGAAGTTGTAAATTTTTATTCATAAGCGGGTAAAAGTTTTGAAGATTTCACTTGTAGTCTCAAATATCATCGATTGCCAAAAATCAACCCACCCTTCGATTTCAATGAAATTCGGTTTGTTGATTCCTAAATCATTTGTGCTCACGCCAGAGAAAATTTAATCTTCTAACTTGCACAAGTTTGGAAGTTGTCGATTTTTATCCATAAGCGGGTAAAAATTTTGAAAATTTCACTTGCAGCCTCAAAAATGATCGTTTGCCGAAAATTAACTCGCTCTTCGATTTCAATGAAATTCGACCTGTAGGTTTCTGAATCATTTGGGTTCACTCTGGAGAAATTTCAACTTCCGCCTCCCACTAGTTTGGAAGTCATGAATTTTTATTCATAGGCGGGTAAAAGTTTTGAAGATTTCACTTGTAGCCTCAAATATCATCGATTGCCAAAAATCAACCCACTCTTCGATTTTAATGAAATTCGGTTTGTTGATTTCCGAATCATTTGTGCTCACTGCAGAGAAGTTTCAACTTCTAACTTGGACAAGTTTGGAAGTTGTCAATTTTTATCCATAAGCGGGTAAATATTTTGAAAATTTCACTTGCATGCTCAAAAATCATCGTTTGCCAAAAATTAACTCGCTCTTCAATTTCAATGAAATTTGACCTGTAGGTTTCTGA